TGGCTGTCAGAATCAGGAAACACCTACCGGCGCTCTTCGTGACCTCATTGTTGCGCCGCAACGCTGCAATGTTCCAATGGCGAGGCTCGTACAGGAGTTGGAAAGCAGTGCACCGCCTGCGCACCGCCTATAGTCCATAGACTGGCACTCGCTCCCACCTCTCGGCTTAGCTTAGTCACTCGATGGGTAATCGAGGTGGGAGCGAGTCCCAGTCTATATAGCCCTGATTCTGACAGCCATTTACATTACAAGGCAAGGTTCGCGAACGCGAGAATGTCGTCAGCCTGTGTGTGATTTCGCGTGACACAGCTCGGTTATGAACAGAGACAGTATGTTTTTATAACAAGTAAACACTGTTCTTGACATAGAAACAAAAATGGCAGCTGTTGGATGTGTATTCGTGCTGTGAAAGTGTGAAATCCAGCAAGCGTCGAGCGAATTTTGCGATCCCGCTTTCCTACCTGCTATATATTAGTGTAAGCGTGCATCAGTGTCCCGCGAGAGCAATGGCGCCGGCAGCGTATATGGTTGCACGTATGATTTGGACGGAATTGACAGGAAACTGTCGGCAATAATAGGTGAAAGAGAGTATAGAAACATTCAGAATTTGGTAGTAAATAGATTTCGTATTTAGTTAGCAATTTAGCATTATAATTTATATTTTATTGAAACGCTACAAGTGCCTGTGCTCGTACTCGTAGCTTGGACTTGTTCTAGACGCGTGGTCCCAAGCCTAGTTTACTGTTTAGCACCACTGATTAGTTAGTACATATGTGAAAACACATTTGTGGGCGCGTGTACTACTAGTTCAAACTCTTTTATTGACTTATGTTATTTCTTTAATAGGCATTGATAGATTTAGAGATTTTAGAATATAAAATTAGAATCAGTGACACTGAGAGTATAACCAACAATGGCAACATACGAACCAGCCAAATTTTTGCGCTGAAAATAGGGCAAGTCCAAGGTCCGGGACCTGCCGATTTCACGCTCGGACCTTCGTAATTTCCAAGCAGAAAGTCCATCAGACCTATCAATAATTTACAGTACTCCACTTTCATTAAATGAAAAATCATTAAACCATTGAAAGTTGCGAAGAAATATAGCGAAAATAGATCGATTTTCGGTCACCGTCGACATCTAGTATCATATTTATTATTCACAATTAAACAAACCAAGTATAAAGGTCAATTTTACCGAAAATCTGATCCGAATTACACGTATACTGATAGCGCATGCTCCAATGTTAGTAGCAGAGTTTTAGCGTAAAGGAAATAATTATATCGTCGTTCGTGTGAGTAACTCGGAATGCCTCCATTCAAATATCTGTCTTGTTTTGGATTCGAAATATATATAGTGCCAGAAGAAGCGATAATGAATGCAAGAGGACCAACCACGCGACTGCATACATTAGGGTCATAATGTCATGTTGAACAGGATTCTTCGTTTCCCTTTGAATTGAACTTTGAATGAAATAGTAGCGGCTCGTCTCCACACACACTGCGCGGCACTGCAACGGCGCCGTTCACCCGCTCCGGCAAAATTCAAATCTATATATCTTATGGCGCAGTCTCTGCTGACACGGTGTTCCACATTGTATGCACGCTATGCATGCTGACCGGGTTATGAACCGTGCTCACCTGACCAGCTGATTCTGGGTAGTGATAGTGAAAGTTCTTGTTGCTTGGAGAGTCGCGTTCTCGCTTCTCGCATAGACGCGGTGTCGAGTAGACGTGTTCGTATGGTTAGCCTGAGTTGTGACTAGCGTGTATTGTGTGCGTGTTGACAGTATTGTGAGTACGCGGCATTGTGTTTTATGTTTAGAGCTTTATTTTGATATTAGTTCAATAAAGTGTAGTTTACTGAGGGAAGAACAGCGATTTTCGTCAGCGTGGCGGTGTTTTTGGATAAATTTCTGCGTGGCGGATGAGAATTTGAGCGAGGCGGCCGCCTCACCCGTGTCAATGCAGGGAAAACACTGTGCATGTAAATGTAAAAAGTTTGGTTTACACAGATGGTTATGTTTCTGCTCTATGCAGGTGTAGAAATCAACTTTTCAACAATGGACTCCCTCCCTTCAAAAAGAGGGAGTCCGCAGTCTGAAGTTCAAAACTAAAGATATTAAAACAATAACGCATACATGTGCTTATTTTCAAGATTCATGCAGTTGCACGTCTGCCAAATTTTCTTTGGACATTTGCTGAAAAAATACGGTAATTCCGCGAGGCCGTGCTCTAGAAGGAACTAGTTGGTATAGGAGAATTTTTAGGGAGTCACACGGACTCCTGCATATGTCAAATCAGGGAGTCCGACAGTAAATAAGGGAGTATTTGACACCGGACTCGCATTAATTTCGCACCCTGTCTATGTTATTGGCAGGTACTATGTCGGCAGCAGTCATGTCTTCAGGCGAAAAAGTTGAACTTAAGACCGCACCATTTGATGCTCGCTTCCCTAACCAGAACCAGACCAGGTGAGTTCAATCAAGATTAAGTAGGAGCATGTTGGCAATATTTGCAAAGTGAGGTAAGGTAAAAGTAGCATGTTAAACTATAGTCGAAATTTCTATGTAGCTGTGTGCAACGAGAAATATAATGGCATCATAACTTCTCAATTATTGAGTGTAGTGGAATATTCAAGATTTTATTGTAATGCAGTTATATAATCTATATTAATCTTGCCATTTTATGTAGAAACTGCTGGCAGAACTATGTGGATTTTCATCGCTGTGTGAAAGCTAAGGGCGATGATTATGAACCATGCCAGTACTTTAAGCGTGTCTATCGCTCGCTATGCCCAAACGCTTGGGTAAGAATATCTATGTTAAAATTGCTAAAACCTTGCAACAAAAAGCCTACATACACCTACTGTGGGCATACTTGCAGTATGCAAACATCACGAAATGTTCTTATTGAGCCATAAATATGCTCCAAAGTTGACTATTTTCATCCTATTTTGAAACTGTCGGACAAAGTTTTGGCATACAAATACACATAGAGCGATGTGACTGGGAATTTAACAGTAGGTCTATGCTAGCGCAAATAGTTCCTAGAAAGAAAACACTATATTTGTTTGCTGATTGCATAATTAATGTAGATAACATGTGATTTAAACAAATTTCACAATTTTGTTATTGAACAAACATCGAAAAAAGAAAAAAACTTGTTCTATCATAGAAAAGAACTGTTACTGAAAACTGCGATTTGCTTGGCTATGTCCCGGATGTGAAAACAATGTGGAAACATTGAAAGTACTAGTTTCATAAGACTGTTTAGGTTTGCTGAAAAAATGTTATGAAAGTAGCAATACAAATGAGTTGTAGTGAATTTTTGCAACATAGACGAGCTCACAGTAAGTATATCTATGCATTTTGCGGCGAGAACATGTCGTTTTAAGCCTGCAAACATTTTCCTGCTAATCTGCTATAGAAACATGTATTCTTAGTGAAACATTGCTGATCTTCTCAATACAACAATTCAGAATTATTGAAGAACTCGGGATCATGCTCATACTAAGCTTTTAATCTTGTGTCACATCAGGTTAGTAAATAATGTTATAAATTTTTATATGTGTTATCAGGGTGACTCTGCAGACAGTTTGTTTTATGTGCTTCCATATATATATATATATATATATATATATATATATATATATATATATATATATATATATATATATATATATATATATACCCAAGTTAAATTCAAAAGTGCTTCTAACGACCTGTGAGGGTTGGATAAATATTGGTAGAACCTGAACTCACGTGTTCTAATCTAACTAATGAAGTTGTTCATGAATTTATGCGCAAAATTCTTTCTAGGTGGACAAGTGGGATGAGCAGAGGGAAGAAGGCAGCTTCACGGGCAAGATATAACAATCGCATGCTGCCTAGATAATTTCCAGCGACATCTATTCTAGAAAAGTCGATCACGGTGTTAATTGCCGTAAGGCTGGTTAGAGTGAGAATGTGATCGACTTGCTGTAAACATTGTAAACTGAAGTCTGATGTCTTGTTCTGTTACGTAATTGGTGTGAAATATTTCAGGTTGTCGGCTATGTATCCGTTTGCAGTTTTAGTACTTTCGAACTGAATAGAAGATAGATTGAGGTCACTGAGATTTCTTGAGCAAAGGAATGTTTTATAGTTGCATTGAATTTATATAATGCCATAGGCATGTGTCAAATATCAGAAACAAAACAAATCTACCATAGTAACTTAAGTTTGATACTAGAACTGGTTAGGATACTAATTGGTTAAGTGTTAAATAAACATCATAACCTGTTATTAAAATCACTATTCTGTGTATTGTATTTATAAATGTTTCTAATTAGTAATAATGTACACAGTGTTCAAGAGCTATATTATTTAGAATCACACTGATTATACACCCATAGTAACAAAAGAAATTATGACGAATTGAATTTTCTAAATGTCGCTTTTGTAAAATATAGTTTTTATTGGTACGAGAGAATCATACATTGACACATAATTTGGAAAATTGCATGGCACTGAGAAATATGCTGTGAATGCGAGGGTAAATAGTGAGGTTAATAATCAACATAGCATTAGTCTGCCATTTATTGACTTAAAATAGAACAGAAACCATGATACTAAGTCTTGTTCTGTCTATGTGTAACGTTGCTGATAAACTAGTGAATGTGTCTGACTAACTGCTTGTCTCAGCACATGTTTGTATCTGGAAGAGTAGGATCAATTGTCATTTCTCGTGTTATAAAGACAATGCGATATATACGGTTTAAGAGCCGAGGAAGATTTCGTAACTTCATAATCATGATAATCCTTACCATCATTACCCTCTGCCTCCACGTTATCGCCATCATTATCACCCATACCGCCATCATCATCATTATTATTATCATCGTCGTCATCACCATCATCATCGTCATCACCATCATCATCGTCATCACCACCATCGTCATCGTCATTATCACCGTCATCGTCATCATCACCACCATCGTCATCGTCATCATCACTATAATCATCACGTCATCATCATCACCTCATCATCATCACGTCATCATCATCACCTCATCATCATCACCTCATCATCATCACCTCATCATCATCACCTCATCATCATCACCTCATCATCATCACCTCATCATCATCACCTCATCATCATCACCTCATCATCAACACCTCATCATCATCATCTCATCATCATCACCATAATCATCTCATCATCGTCTTATATATGCCATGTATCATAAGAACTTCTGCTTGACTAGTCAACACATCAAGGCGGTAGAATGTTTTTATCATAACATTCATTTCTTATAAAATTGTTTTGGGGTAACCCTATGGGAGGCCGGAAATTCATGAAAAACGCTTACAAAATGAATGAAAGCGACAGCAAATGTGTTATGCCGTTTTATCTTATATTGATACGTCATGAGGTATCAGCAAATTATGGGCTGGACAACTCTGAACATCAGGCAATGTAAACACGCCACCGGTGTCGACTATCGAGCTTATGCCAACTCACATGCTTAGATAAAGATTGCATTCATATTGCGATGAGGATTGATCCACTTGTTTGTATTTAGCATGTAAGCTTATATCGTACATGTACCGAGACGAGTAGGCTACTGTTTTCTGTAGTCTCATAAAATTTGAATTTTAGATCGGAAAGCGAATCTATTCATGGATTTCAGCAATGTTCCCGTCTAATTATGGCTAATTCCTGTGGTAGGTGTAGGTAACGTGTGTTACTAACCCTATCCACGTTTTTACATTGCCAGATAAAGTATTGGACAACCGCGAGTTCGACCCATAGTCATAAAAGCGGATACACCGACACAATTCTATTTCTAACGCGGAATCGTTACTGTGAATCTAACGAGGAAAGCTTGTTTAGAATAGAGGTTATTTCTGCCGATAAGTTTCTAGAAAAATCACCACGAGCGTTAATTATCACTATAAACGCGACAACGTCAGCTTTCACAAAAGTACATTTGATTCTATTTACATACTTCTACCACTTTCTTCTACTTTTTCTTTTTCTAATTTTTCGTCTACTTCTTTGTCCTCGTCGGCGTTTTGTCGTCATCTTCCTATTCTTATTTTTATTCTTATTATTCCTCCTTCTCCTCCCCATTCTTCCCCGCTTTCTCCTCCTTCTCCTCCTTATCTCTTTGCTTCTTCTCCTCGTCGTCGTCGTTTTCTTTATCACCATCATCAACAACTTCAATTGGTCATTATCGTCATCGTCGTCGTCATCACCGTCATATATTTTTCTTTTTTATGTGACAATGAACCAAAGCTTACGGAACGTGAAGCTACAATCCGGTAGTATCGCTCCCGCCGACGTTTGCGGCTTCGTTGCGGGCACATGCCGATTACAACACCGTCTCGATTTCGTAGGCGTCTAAGTTCGGCACAGGCACGTAGCGGCGACCGTCTCTGTATTTCCTAACACTCGGCGAGCGCTCCCGCGCGCGCTCGTCCTCCTCCGCGTGCGAATAAGGCTGTCTATACGATGGCTGCTCCGCCACCTCGCCCAGTAGCGTCCTATCGCACCGATGAGCGTACGGTACGTCCGCGGGGGAGTCCGCGGCCGTCCGCTGCGAACAGTAAGACATCGCTGCCGGATCTCCCGGGTAGCTGGGCGGCATCTCGCCGCGGTGGTAGGCGTCGGCGGCCTCCTGGAAGCTCTGGTGTGAGTTGTGTGACAGGTAGCTGAGCGGGGACAGGCCGCCCGGACTCGCCAGTAGGTCGGCGCCGCTGACATTGCTGCTCGTGCAGGGACTCGCCCGCGGGTTGTATGTCACCGACAGCAGCTTCTCCTCTGGTGCTGTAGGCGTCATCATGTCGACACTGTTGTTGATCAGCTCGTTCGAAGAGCCGCCGTAGACGGACTTCTTTTTCCTGGTGGTAGAGATAGATGGCGTTAGTGCTGCTGCTGCTGCTGCGGCGGCGGCCATTGTCAAATATCGCTAATATATCGGCGTAGATGTGTACTTTCGTCAAACCATTGAGCTGTGTATCATAACATATATTATAATGTAACATAATACGATGTTATTATGTACAGCTCAGTGCGTCAACCTCGTAATTTTATGGAAAATATTCATTAGGCCTAAAGTTAATCTCTTTATAACGAAGAATTAAGGGAAAGAGGTTAAGGTTGTTGCAATAGATAAATTGATTTGCTATTTGTAAATAATGCTGTTAACTCCGCGCCACAGGAAACATTTTGTTTTCTAATCCATGGAATCAAGATTGGCATAAATTTAGGACATCGAATATAGGCCTATATCTATTAGTGAACAACGTCTTTATCTCAATTTGCTAACGGTCCGTTTCGCTGGTTTTCTGCACATAACATAATTTATAATAGAAAATGGTTGAATAAGGACTTGTTTCAAACCCTGGCCAAGACCGAGGGTGGTATCCGTCACCGCCCTCTGATTGTATAATATGCAAGATAACGTGAATGAATTCACACATCCGGTGCTGGTTCCCTGCTGCATGTGTCATGTCTTCTTAATTAGACAGTTTAACTGTGATCAGCGTCATATGATCACGGGTAGAAGCTGATAGATATAGAGCACAAATATCTCAAGATGGCAACTCGGTCGCTCAATTAAAAAAACGAACGTAAACATTTGAATAATTATAGATTGCATTGGACAAATATGCGCGTAATTTAAAGACCGTGGAAGACAATCGTATACGAACTCTGGCGCCGTCAAAGACCGTGGCAGACAATCGTATACAATCTTTGGTTGCATCAAAGACTGTGGAAGACAATGGTATACGATCTCTGGTTGCGTCAAAGACCGTGAAAGACAATCGTATACGATCTCTGGCGCCGCCAAAGACCGTGGAAGACAATCGTATACGATCTCTGGTTGCGTCAAAGACCGTGGAAGACAATCGTATATATGATCTCTGGTTGCGCTAAAGACCGTGGAAGACAATCGTATACGATCTCTGGTTGCTTCAGAGACCGTATAAAATTATCGTATACGATCTATAGCCACGTCAAAGACCGTGTATGATTATCGTATACGGTCTATGGTCGCGTCAAAAACCATATGCGATGGTCTCATACAATTCTCGGTCGTGTAAGATGGTCTTTTACGATACTCAGTCGCGTGAGTGAAGGTAAATATTTGCTTTCAGGATGCTGCGCAGGTGCGTGTGCGTGCATGCTCACTTGTAGCTCTAGTAACCTAGCCCTAGTTGCCACAGGCAACTGTCCTGTTGCGTGTCTTGTTCCTGTGCTGTCCTGTCCTCGGGCCCGTTGTCAAAAACAATTAAAATTAGTCTTAACATTAGTCTTAACATTAACAATGTCTCCTAGCTCGTCGACATGACTTTGTTTCGTATTGTTATGAGGAAATCTGCTACGATTTTTCATTCTCGTAACTTCGCAGCGTTTCTGTCAACGGTCTAAGAGGAAAAGTTAATGTTAAGACTAATGTTAAGACTAATTTTGTTTCTGACAACGGGTCCCTGGTCCCAGGGGCGTAAATCCGTACCGAGGAGTGGGGAGGGATGATCGGCGATAGCCGGGGGCGAAATTAACCTTGGCTGCCGCAGGCAGGCCCGCGTGACGTAGGCATGGCTTAAAATTTTGAAATATTTAAGCCATTTTCCTGCAATCTATTCTCATGTCTGATGACACTATCTCAACCCTAGACTCAACTCTACAAGTTAGGATTCAAAACATTTTTCATGACTTTTCAGAGAGCGTGTATTAAAACACAGGTAAGAATTGCAATTTTTCACAATTTCACGTGTTTTTGTATATTCTATTACTTTTTGGCTATTCTTTTTTTTCTCTCTTTTTTTTTTGAATCTCAGGAGGGGATATTTGTACAGGCCATCCCCCCTCCTTCAAGAGCGGGGGGATGCATCCCCCTATCCCCCCCGGGATTTACGCCCCTGTCTGGTCCTGTAGACAACTATATCCACAGGCAACTGTCCAGGCAACAACGCAACAGGCCTGTGGCAACTGTGGCTATAGTACTAGAGCTAGCTCACTTGTTGATCATATCCTCGAGGTACTTAATCTTGATGCGTGTCATGCTCAGCTCCTGACGCAGGTGACCCATCTGCTGGTCGCACACCGGGTTGCGACAGCGGTAGTGACGCATCACGTCCTGCGCCTCGAGCACGGCGTTGCTAAAGCTCAGCGATTTACCCATGCTCTGTAAGTAACAACGCGGCGGCACTGTCTGTTAGCTACACGGGCCACCACCACCATTACCAGCACCACCATCATCATCACCACCACCAGCAGCAGCAGCACCGCCGCCGCCGCCGCCGCCGCATAGCGGCGTGCAGAAGCTGTGCTGTGTGCACGCACGCGGCATGCCGGGGTACGTTGCGTACGTATAGCGGGGGGTTGGGCAGTTACTACAGCATGCTCAGTGTTTCCTCGCGCGATCTCGTGTGGTGGCAGCCAGTCTACCTCTCAGCAGCAGCCTGGTAGCTGTGGGCGTCGTGGCTGTGCCACATGCTGTGTCATCCGCACATCCTCGCGTGTAATGGTCGCGTAGAGGAATTACCTGACAGCAGCAGCACCGGTGGCATTGTGTAAGGAATCACCTTGATGAGATGACAGAGATGTGGCTCCATGCTCGAAAGCATATCGGCAAATATCCTACCAACTATCAAAGCGGCCGCAATGCTATGCCCTAGAGTTGGAAGCCAATGCTAACTATCGGGTATAACGGCAGACATTGCCATGCTGGGCAGATATACAGTGGCAACCTGTCAGCTCACATTCGTCCACGTGCGACACCGTCCCCATGCAAGACTCGCTCACAGAATTCACAATCAGTGTTAGCTGACAGGTGGTCACTGGCCTGCGGATCAAGCCTACCTCAGGACCCAGTGATACATTAGCGGCAGCATCACCATCACCATAACCGTGATTTTAACTCCCATCTCTATCCTTTACCCTGACCCTTACTGTGACCCCTTATCCCTAACCATAACCATAAATTAACTGACGCTCTTAACCCCTAATCCTAACTCTAATCTCTTTTCTTAATCCTAATCGGACCATGTGTATGCGGGATCCTGACGAAGACTTGACCCCCGACGGCAGTCGCTCTATGTCTGTTAGTGCGTTGCAGAATTACAGTGACACTCTGATGCCTAATATATAACTGCGTGCAGTGACTTACCCATGCTCTGCAAGCCGACACCAACACTGTTAGCTAAAAAGTAACCACTGACTTTAATCAAATCCATGCTTTTCGTGGACTGACAAAAAATACTGCGTCTGGTTGAACGAGTGAACGCAGTCATGCTTACACACATATAAGTATAACTTATGCTAATGCACAACGAGACAGCAGCTGCCGGACGTAATTGTCATATTCAATCCTATCTTGTTGTCGCGATAATGCGTCATAAAACCATTCAAGACACCTGGTCTTACGCCCCTTAATAGCAGCTATTAGTTAGCGTTCGTTCGACGAAAACAATTTACTTCGAAGGAAAATGTGTTAGAACGACTGGTGACGTCATAGTGCGTCGCAGACGTGCATCATGGCTGGTCCCGCCGTGTATACTTACAATGCTTACGAGGCCGCATATGCCGCACTTGTCCACCTTCTTCACGTGCTGACGCACATAGTTGAAGTAGCAATGTTCTAGGATGAGAAGCACCCAGGCGAACACAATGCCTGCCCAGCGACGACAACAAAAACTCAATCAGCACAGACGAATAAACGCCACAGCATCTTGTATAGAGATGGCAGGAGGTAGTGGGTAGTAAGTAGTAGTAGTAGTAGGAAGTAATAGTAGGGCGGTAGGTAAATATAAGAATATTTCATAGCTTATATAGATTATATAGGTTCTACTGATTATAAAGGCTGGAGAGACATTGCGGATAACTGTCAATGGAAATGGGTTTATGGTTCTGAGTGAATTGTCGACTCTTAATCGTAGACGGCTCCAGTCCGGATTTAAGCACTTGATGACACGCCAAGGACAAATGCGTGGTCGCATTTATGGTCACGATTTATCAGGTTGTAAGAACACAAAACATGGCTGTTAGAAACGACTGATCTACGTGCACATGCGTGCGTTAAAAAGGGCAAACCCCCGCAGGCTTTACAATTATTCTGCTTCTTTCTATAATGTATTACACATTATTTCTTACTCACTGTTGCCGCCGAACATTCGGTTATTTTTATCGCGCGTTTTTGTCAATTGGTATCATCAAATGCTGATTGGATCTTGAATTAAGCCGACTTTGAGCCAATTAAGATTTCATGAGTTACTGAATCCCAGATAAAGGGTCTAGGATGTGTATACCTATAAGCAGTAGGATGAAAGCGCTGGCGAAATTCTTGATCTCCAAGGAGTTGCTTGAGGACTCAGCCGTTTGTTCCTTTGGGCGGCAGTCGGCCATGAACCAGAACCTTTCTAATCTCTCTAAATCGCCTATTTTATTCAACAGGGTATTGAATTCACGTGCGATTAAAGCACGATCTGTGGCCATGTACCCGTCCATCGACTGACAACGTATCAGCAGTCAGCACTAGTAGCGGGCAATCTCTAAATACACATCGCGTTGCCATCAAGTGAAGGTCATTGAACGTTGCAGACAATGTTGTTCCAAAGAATTTAAACACAATTTGTTCAGATTTCTCTCTAATCTTTATTTATGTCTATTAGGCTTGTATGCTTACCACTTTCTCTGTATTTGAGAATTTGGTGGCTGATTTTGTCTTTAAATTTAGATTTCTGTGGGAACCCGATTCCGTACCCAGTCATTGCGAACCAAGAACCCGTCTGTCAAACAAAACAAATATAGAATACGATTTACGTTCTCCACTGATCACTGTTAGATTAAGCTAGGTGGTCCTCCGGGATTTGTTTCCAGTAGCAATCCGAAAATCAATAGATGAAAACAAGTGCAAAAAATACAGAGCAGTCACGTAGCAGAATTTCAAACCTCCGATTTTAGTGGTGAACAATACGTAAAATGAGGGGTTTGAAATTCTCATACGCGACTGCTTTGCATTTTTCCCGCTTGTTTTCTGTTATTGATTCTCGGGCGGCGAGTGGAAACAAAGCCTTTATGGCATAGCGCTAAAATGCGCGGGTGGACACTACTGAGCAACGTATCAACGCTCTCCCCCTCTGGTGGTTGTAGCCACCCCCTATTGTCACATTGATTGATCTGCCACTACCCAGCATCGACGCTTGTTGGCTTGAATAAAGTTTACGGAAAACTTAAATCTTATTACGGAGCCAATATTTCAGTTTTCGCAGATGTAAAAATTAAGCTACATATGACGGAAGCAGCATCTATGAACTATTACACACGAAGATAGTGTTCATACCTGGAGAAGTTTGCAGTCATTATCCTGACCAGCGTGATATTCCAGCACCTTAGCGTCATAAATGAGAGCATCTAAGTCTCTGCGTGAGAATAACAAAATGTGACATATTTAGCAGACGAAATTATAGTTTTGTATGCGTAGAAAGGGAGAGAGGAGTGAGCGAGAGAGCGTACAGAAGAAAGGGAGCGAGCACGCACGCGAGAGAGAGCGAGAGAGAGAGAGGAGAGAAATAGAGAGAGAGAGAAAGAGAGAGAGATGAGAGCAGAGATGAGAAAAAGAGAGAGAGCAGAGAGGACAGAGAGAGAGAGAGAGAGACAGAGAGAGAGAGACGAGGAGAGAGAGACCGAGAAGAGAGCAGAGAGAGCACACGACGAGAGAGAGAGAGAGGGGAGATATGGAAAATGAGTGGATGTGGAGGAAAACTTGGTGATGCACCCCATATACTCACCCATTCTTTAATTTTTTCATGCCTTCGGCTACACTGGCAACGTTGTACTGTTTCATGTATCGCCATGTGTCCCAGTAGTTTCTCCGTATGTGTTCCTCTACGTGCCCTTGTGGTACCGTACCAAACTTGAGCGGGTATTGATATTTCTGCGGGAATTGTAACTAAAAACAGACAGTAGCGTGCTTTAATCCGAGTATCGTTATAGTTTGGCAAGCTTTTGACTGTTATTGGTCTACTCTAACTCCCCTTCCAAGATAGATTACCTTATAAGTTTCCATCATTCCTAAATAGTAGGTAACAAACTGCTATGTGATAGTTTCACTAAGTTTCGCTTATTGATATTATTGAATAGGTTTCATTTATTCCTAAATTAAAGTTGACTATATTAAATTTACTCCTATGTGATAATTCAATAAGATGCCTTCGCTCCAGGATAGCTTAAAATATAATACGTAGTTAAGTTTAATAGCTAACTAAATTACTGTGATCTATTTATAATACCAAAATCAGTGGCTCATATTCTTATACCGTAGTTAACTAAGTTTACCTCGTTCATATGCAATAATTGGCTATACTAACCGTTAGTTCAGAGTAACTCAGTTTAAGGCTAAACTCTTAATAATTAAACAACTTAATTAATTAACTCGATAAAACGTCCACTCGGTAATTATCTACGAGCTTTCATCGAAACAACGTGTTGAGCAGAAGTAAGAAGCGCATACTCTCGCGTCTTCGAAGCCTGACAGTTGTATGGCCTCGTCCTTGGCTATCATGAACTTGACGAGGTTGGCTGTATAGCTGGCGAGGAAGAAGAGGGAAAACAACGCCCACACGTTGGCGATGGCGCGGCTCACGTATCCGCGAGGCTGATCAAAGTTAGTCGAGCCTCCGAACAGGATCGTGTACATCACCCAGAGCGCCCGAAACAACGAGAAACGATGTCCTGCAATGACACAGTAGTATCATGTTATATATATATATATATATATATATATATATATGAAAGCAGGGAGAAACAGTGCCCTGCATGATATGGCAGAGTCGTAATATGTTATATATATGGGAAAGCAGAGAGAAACGGTGCCCTACAATGACGGGGTTGTAACATATGTTATATAATGTGAAAGCAGGGAGAAACGGTGTCCTGCTACCACACGGTCGTAACATGATATATATGTGAAAGCAGAGAGAAACGATGCCCCGCTATCTATCGCACGGTCGTAATATGATATATATGTGAAAGCAGAGGGAAACGATAAACTTGCGAAAAGCAGCAAGCTGTCTCTAACAGACCGTATAGTAGCCTATCAACTGTACATCTGTCACGCTCACGCAGTTCTCTGTATGCGCCTATGGCAAGCCATTTGTATCATAATTCGAGAAACCACGGTTCCTCGCACGAAACCAGGTTTCGTGCTCACAAAACCTAGTTTCTTGCTCAAGAAACCAGGGTTCTTGCCATGAAACTAGGTTTCGTGGGAGCACGAGACGCTGGCTTTTGCTAGCCGCGTATAACCGGCATTATAGCGATGTAATATTAAGTTTTCTTGAACAGAAACTTATTTTGGAAGCAAGAACCTAAGGTTTCGAGCAAGAAAACCGCCACCTTTCAACCGCGACCATTGTAATCATAATTCGAGAACCTACGTTCTCGGCACGAACCAGGTTTCGTGGCGTCAGCAAACCATAGTTTCTTGCCACTGAAACTTAGTTTCATGGCATGAAAGCCTGGTTTCTCTAAGCCGCTATATGTACCGCAGTTTATGAGGCTGGAATCTAGTTTGCTTGAGCAAGAAATATAGATCTCCAGCTTATAACGCGGTTATTAAGTGCGCCTATAGAACCCTGGGTTTCTCGAGCAAGAAAACTAGGTTTTTGTGAGCGGACGAAAGCCTGGTTTCGGTGCGAGAACCGTGGTTTTCTCGAAGAATTATGATACAAATGGCAGTGCCATATGGCGCCCACGTCTCCCTTCCATGTATCGCACATGTGTAACATTTCACGCTGCGTTGCAGCCTACGTAAGTAGGCCCTACTTTATTGCTTTATACATCGTTTTGGATCAATCAGCATACCTGTGCGCGCGTCAGCATCGAGATTCTGGGTCTTTAAATTGACTACGTCACGAATCTTCTATGGTGTATATTTGTAACATTTGTGTAGCAATTTTTTTACATGAAAAGTAAGTACTAACTAGGCTAAATGTTATTCTCAAATCCATTTAACTTGTTTCTCATTAGTTAGAAAATCCAAAAAAACCTGGCAATTTGATATTATTGCTATGGGCTATGTATAGAGTCACGAGTGTCGTTCACATCGGCAGCAATAGCAAAATAGGAAGTATATTGAGCATATTTAACATAAAAATATAACAGAATCACTTACATCTTGTGAAAAGGTGACATGATTTTTTCACTAACATTTCTATTTTACTGTGACGTAATCACTTAATAGAGCCCCTAAAATGTCGAATAAAAATGCGAACGCAAATATGATTTTTACCGTTGATTCGTCCAGCGTTGGGTTTTTGGCGCTGCAACGGTGTTAAAGAAAGTCATAACTATAGGAGTGGTGCGTCGCTTTGCCAATTGAATTTAGGCTGGCGTATTAAATTGCTCAGCACCAGTCTTACATAACGAGTACCGGATATTCGCCAGATAATTGCGCGATGAACAGTTTCACATTTCAGATGAATGTTTGTGTTTTACGTATACGTTTGTAGACTTAACTAGGTGAAAAGTATGATCTCAGAATGTCTAGTAGTTTGATGTGGTCCTCTGAAACGCAAAGTTGCGGGTGTCACCATAGTCGTTTGCCAGCATACTAAAAAAAATTCGGTGCAGGCTTCCCTCGCAGGTCGTTAACGCAGGCAGTATGGTTTTACCGAACTTATAATAGCCGCCATGGATTGCGGCCTATAATAATGTGATCAAACGCAAGCATTTTGACGACGTTCCCTACGTGTGAACGTTGAGTGAGTGCTTTCTTGCCTGTGAGCATGTGTGCGTGCGTACGTTGCGGGTGTATGCGCGCGTGTGCTTGCATGCGTACGTGCGTGCGTGCGTGCATTGCGTGTGTGTGTGTGTGTGCGAGACATTGCGTGTGTGCGTTTGTGAGTGCGCCTGTGTGTGTCTGTGTGTTTGTGCGGGCGCACATGCGTTCCTGCGTGCGTGTGTGTGCGCGCGTGTGTATGGCTGTGAGTGCGTGCGTGCGTACCTGGAGGCGCCCGCTTCCGCATGTTAAATCCGTACGGTGAGAGCCACTCGAAGAAGAAGAGGAAGAATGCGACGCCGTTGATACAGACGAGTAGAATCATCGCCCAGGACGTGTAGTCAAATGGCTCTGTTGCAGAGACAGGGAAACTGTGATGTAAACTGCACACACACCACACACACACACACACACACACACACACACACACACACACACACACACGACACACACAGCACACATACACGCACGTACGCGCGGCACGGCCAACAGCACACACACACACAGCACCACACACACATCACATACACACATACACACATATAGCATACACAGCCATCACAGTACGCACACACACACACTACAACACCACACACACACACACGACACACACACACACACACAACACAACACGCACGTACGCGGCGCACGCACCAACACACACATCACACACATCACACACACATCACATACACACATACACACATATACATCACACAGCATGCACGTACGCACACACACACAACACACACACACAACCCACACGACAACACCACACACACACACACACACACACACATGCACACACACACACACACACACACACACACACACAGCAGCCACGCCAACTGCTAACGCACACACGCAAGCACGTACACACATCACACCACACCCAGCGCGCAGCCGCGGCACGCACGCCGCACACATACAACACCACACACACCCCACAACCTGTTCCTTTGCAGCAGCATTATCAACTCACGTAAAGATGGCCTGTCGTTTGAGATGCTGCCCTCCGCGAGCGCGCACCACGTATGCCGATATGCCTCCGTGATCCATTCGAAGATTCGACGAGAATCAGACGACAGCGGCGAGCGTGACGGATTCACGCCAGCGCCGTCATCGCCATGTCGCCTTGTTATGCATGAGGTCGGCGACCGAAAGGGCCGTCCCAGCGTTCGCCGTTCTGTCAGATAAGATGTGCGAACCGCACAGGCGGCACACATTACAGTATTATAGTGTGTGTGTGTGTGGTGTGTGCCGTGTGTGTGCTGGTATGTGTGTGTGGGCGTGCGTGCGTGCGTGGCGTGGCGTGCGTGGCGTGCGTGCGTTGCGTGCGTGCGTGCGGTGCTGTGCGTGCGTGCGTGCGTCTGTGCGTGCGTGTGTGTGTCTGTGTTGTGTGGTTGTGTGTGTGTGTGTGGTGTGTGTGTGTGTGTGTGTGTTTGTGTGTGTGTGTGTGTGTGTTGTGTGTGTGTGGTGTGTGAGTCGTGCTCATACAGACACATGCAACACCGCGGGACAAGGCGAACCTAACATACCAGGAGCAATATACTCTTACCATATGTATATATATATATGTGTGTGTATATGTGTGTGTCGCTGTGCGCGTGCGTGCGTGCGTGCGTGCGGCGCGCCCGCGCTGTGTGTGTGTGTGTGTGTGTGTTGTGTATGTGATGTGTTGTGTGTGTGTGCTGTGTGTGTGTTGTGTGGTGTGGTGTGTGTGTGTGCTGTGCCTTGCCGTGTGCGTGCGTGCGTGGCGTGCGTTAGTCGTGGTGTAATCAGTGATGTGGTTTTGTCACCCTGCGCTAGAGTAAATTCTTGAAGATGATGGACAACGACGACGACGACGAGGACGTCGATGACGACGACGACGGACGACGATGATAATTATGATGATATATATAGAGGGTCAAAGAACATTCTTTAACGTACGTTTGATTGCCGCCCGAATTTTCGCGTCTGCGACCTGATAGATGTCATAGCCCAACTGTTTCATGTCCCGTGAGAGAATGTCGAGTATGTCAATGCAGAACACAAGAAAACAACACTTATACACCGCTGCGTGTCGTTTCGCCCTCTGTGCAGTAAAGGTATATCACGTTGTCAAATTCCTCATCACTCAGAATCATGAAAAGAACAGTGCCATGTGGTGCAGAAAAAACCCAACATAACATCGTTGTCAATATGAGCCGCAGTGGCATACGTTTCAGAATGTATATTTTTAGTATTAATAATCGACGTTCCATACATTGTCTGCCTGTTATAACTAACTTACTTAACTTCGCTTAGTCTTAAAAAAATAACGCAATTATTTGTTATTATTAACAAGATACGCACAACAATCAATAACAACAACATCTAACAGCGACACGTTAACAATAAACAGGCAATAGCAGCAGCGGACGCCGGGCGGTGGCAACAAAAGGCAAAGCACCAGCAGCAAGCGAGAGGTGTAGTCGTAGGCAGGCAGCAGAAGCAGCACGTCAACGCATAAAACGCCACAGATACAACAGCAACGACAACGACAAAAACAATCAATAAACAACAACACAAGGAACGACGATGATTGCGACTAACAACACTACGACGACGACTGACAACAACAACGACGACCGACCGAAAACAGATCAACGAGATAACGATGGACGGACGACACCATCGACAACGAGACGACACGCCACCGACGAACGACGACGACGCCGCGACGACGACGAAAGACGACCATCGACGACGACGACCACGACGACGATGGCGACAACTACAACGACGACTACGTACGGCACAACAACTAGACATTAACAACAGGGATCATCTTACGTATATACCTATACTCAGCAGCCAGCAGCAGCAACAGCAGCAGCAGCAGCAGCCGCCGCGCTTTCATGCGTGCCTGACAAACGTCTGCAGCAGCATCAGCAGCAGTAGCAGCAGCAGCCGCAACAGCAGCAACAGCAGTACTAGTAGTAGTAGTAGTTAATAGTAGTAGTAGTAGTAGTATAGTAGTAGTAGTAGTAAGTATCAGTAGTATAGTAGAGTAGTAGTAGTAATAGTAGTAGTAGTAGTAGTAGTAGATAGTAGTAGTAAATATAGTAGTAGTAGTAGTAGTAGTAGTAGTAGTAGTAGTAGTAGTATAGTAGTAGTAACCCCAGCAGCAGCAGCAGCAGCAGCCGCACCTTCACGTGTGCCTGACAAACGTCAGCAGCAGCAACCGCAGAAGCAGCAGCATCAGTAGCAGCAGCAACAGCATCAGCAGCATCAACAGCCGCACCTTCATGCGTGCCTGACAAACGTCAACAGCAGCAGTAGCAGCAGTAGCAGCAATAGCAGCCGCAGCAGCAGCAGCAGCAGCATCTTACAGCAGTATACCTGATTGGCGAGCGGCACTTCACGCCTCGGCTGCATCCTCCAGTCTCAACGTCGACATCTTTCGTGATGACAAACGGACTTTCCTCCAACGTGACGACGGTAAGGTTGAATCGCTCGGGAACGCCTTTGGGCGGCGAGCGCGACTTTCCCGGCCACGTTATATCATCGATCTGCAGAGTCCCGATATTTTCCCGCTGCCATATGCCCACCTGCAAGAAGGATATCCATGTTCACGTTAGAAACCTACAACTTACAACTTATAACCTAGAGCTTACAACCCACTTTAGGAGATGTTAGGTTAAAGTTTCCGCACATGGCCCATTAACTGTCTTACATGTCCTCACGATTAAACAACCCCGTTAGCATCTCCAATCGCTTTTAGTGTAAAATGAAACGCTAGATGGCGCTGGTTTTACCAGGCAAAGCAATAGGTTATGCACATAGAACTAGAATAGAACTAGAATATAGAAATAGAACATAAAAATAGAAATAGAATACCTCTATTCTAGTTCTATGGTTATGCAGCGGGAGAATGAGTGCGAGTAACCTATTTCAGTCGTGTTAGAAAGAAAAAACCCCGGAAGGAAAATTCCAGTCGATGCATTTCAGTAGCATGGGCATATATGTTTACTTAGATAGTATAATATCAGGAGTGTATAATAGGGATATTATCCCTATTATACACTCCTGATAATATATACGCATTCATAGTCGTAGTAATTATCAGCAGGACTCCTCAACCAACGTTATTGCATTTCTTGTAGTTGTGCTCAAGTGGATACAGGGGATATAATCATTTTCATGTCATGCTATTGTAATTCTAATCTAAGGAATATCCCCTATCAAATAGATCACATAGGGTTACATCGATGTTTTTCTTGTAGGTACGATCAGGAGTGCATAATATAGTACCGATATATAGTATCTATAATATCTATAGTATCTATATATTGTATCTACTATATAGTACCTATGATATAGTATCTATATATATATATATATATATATATATATTATACACTCCGGTTACGATTCTAGTCTAGTGATATCTCGCTATCAAGGCGTTGGTCTATCAGTGCTTGGCACGATTACCTTGCGCCAGACGCGAATGTAGGCGCGCTTCGATTTGTCGAACCGCTCCTGAAGGTTAATGATCTCAAGACGAGAGTATTTATTATGGCCGCTGATATCGAAGCCGACTTTGTTGGTTGGAAGTGATGCGTATTCTTCTCTCCGCAGGTACCTATCAAACCAAACAGATTTGTCTTAAAAATCCAACCGATATATATACATATATATGCATATATACATATATATTATCATTAATATATATTTTTAAATTGTTATAAATCTAGCACACGCAACCGTAACCGTTGTCTGCTTGAATAATGGGAGATATAGGCACAGGCGCTTACTCATAGAATATAGGGCCCAGCTTCCAAGGTTTGACGTCCATCTTGCTGCCGGTGACGCAGGCCTGTTCCAGGTCGCTAACCAGCGATATGTTACCGTGCTTCGCTCGCATGTCATTGTAGAACTTATCGAACGCTCTCACGTAGATCCTGATGGCAAAGTTCATCACGTTCTTCAAGATTTCCGGCTTGATGCACGTGAGATCTCTGCAGTCGAAGTGAACGCCCATCGTACCTGCAAGAACGAGCAGTGGCGTGGAATAGTGAGGGCGCATCTCATTTTATTATTCCGTGTGTTAGTGAGGGGGCATCACATGTTATCATCCCCGCACGTTAGTGAGGGGGCATCTCATGTTATCATCCCCCGTACGTTAGTAAGGGGGGCATCTCATGTTATCATCCCCGTACGTTAGTGAGGGAGACAATTCATGTTATCATCTTCCGTACGTTAGTGAGGTGCATCTCATGTTATCATCCCCCGTACGCTAGTGAGGGGGCGTCTCATGTTATCACCCCCCGTACGTTAGTGAGGGGGACAATTCATGTTATCATCCTCCGTACGTTAGTGAGGTGCATCTCATGTTATCATCCCCCGTACGCTAGTGAGGGGGCGTCTCATGTTATTATCCCCCGTACGTTAGTGAGGGGCATCTCATGTTATCATCCCCCGTACGTTAGTGAGGGGGCATCTCATGTTATCATGCCCCATACGTTAGTGAGGGGGCATCTCATGTTATCACCCCCCGTACGTTAGTGAGGGGGACAATTCATGTTATCATCCCCGTATGTTAGTGAGGGGGCATCTCATGTTATCATCCCCCATACGTTAGTGAGGGGGCATCTCATGTTATCATCCCCAGTACATATACGACTTATTGAAGAAGTGACGAAGAGCTTTCGACTCGAATTGTTACGACTTCTTTACGATCTCTGATTTAAATGACGGGCTGAGGATCGGATTGAGATTTGATCAGGGTTAAGGGGTTGGGTTGTAGTTACAGGAGGGTATCGGTTAATGGTTATATTATGATGATTTACATACCGGGGTACAACAGAAGATGGCCGAGCTGTGGGTAGGTTATGGGTCGGTTTAAATTAGGGTTATGGTTAGGGTTAGGGTTAGGGTTATGGTTAGGGTTAGGGTTAGGGTTAGGGTTAGGGTTAGGGTTAGAATTAGGGTTAGGGTTAGGGTTAGGGTTAGAAGCAGGATTAGACGCTAGGATTAGATAGGAATGAAAGTCGGATTGAGCTTAACAGTAAAAAGGGAAGATGAGGATAGGTGTACATTAGCGCACCACGAGTCAGAGAGCCACTGACTACAGCACGTGTGCATCGGCTGCGTTTGATGATATTGTTAGTTATTCTTCTCATCTTCAACCCTTTGTTTTCCCCTCATCTGGATTGCATTCTACGGAGAAACTAATCTACAAGGCGACCAGTGAAAGAACGGCCAATCTGTGCGCACACGTGTGCTTTTACTAATGTTTCAGTCATTACAGCTAATCACTAAAAATGGGAAGAGATCAAATGCGATCCATATTGATTTCGCTTCTCGGGCTTTGTTTTATTCAATTGGAGAGATGTCTCGTTGTCTGCTGTGTTCTGTGATTCGCTTGAGGGCGCGTGCAACGATATCTCTCAATTACACGCTCTTTCACTAAAATCCCCGATTCTTTAAAAGACCCGCACAGAATAAAAATAATCCCTAATTGCGTATAGAAAAAGGTCCGAGAGAATAAAACCATATTGCTGCTGCATGATTTTGACCACCAGGTCCGAAGATAAATTCTATAAATAAAGATTTAGCGAAGCAAAATTTAGACGGCCGAGAAATATGGTAATGAGGAACTCTACTTTCATACCATAGAGATCGCAGCGCATCCAATCACACGCGCCTGCGTGCCGGCGCACACGTACGGAAATCGTGTATGTTTGTGTGTGTGTGTGTGTGTGTGTGTGTGTGTGTGTGTATATTTGTAACATTTGTGTAGCAATTTTTTTACATGAAAAGTAAGTACTAACAGGACTAAATGTATTCTCAAATTCAATTAATTGTTTCTCAATTATAGTTAAAAATCCAAAAAACCTGGGCAATTTTATATATTGCTATGGGCTATGTATGAGTCACGAGTGTTCGTTCACATCGAATCGAACAGAATAGCAAAATAGGAAGTATATTGCAGCAATTTAACCATAAAAAGTTAACAGAATCACTTACATTTTGTGAAAAAGTGGACATGATTTTTTCACTTTTACTATTTACTGTGACGTAATCACTTTAATAGAGCCCCTAAATGTCGAATAAAAGGCGAACGCAAATATATTTTTACCGCTGATTCGTCCAGCGTGGTTTTGGCGCGCACGGGTTAAATAAAGCATTAACTACTAGAGTGGTGCGTCGTCGTTGCAATTGATTTAGGCTGTGTAAGTTAAATTGCTCGGCACCAGTCTTACATAACAGTAGTGGTAATCGCAGATAATGCGCAGGAACAGTTTCACATTCAGATGAATGTTTATTTTTGTGTTTTACGTAACGTTTGTAAGCTTAACTAGGGTAAAAGTTATGATCTCAGGATTGATCTAGGTACTTTGATGTGGTCTCTGAAAGCGCAAAGTGACGGGTGTCACAGTCGTTTGCACATACTTAAACGAAAATCGTCAGGCTTCCCTCGCAGCGTCTGTAACGCAGCGCAGTATGTACGTATAAATACCGCCATGGATTGCGCCTATAATATGTGATCAAACCGCAAGCATTTTGACCGCTTCCTATATGTGAACGTGAGTGAGTGCTTTCTTGCCTGTGAGCATGTTAGAGTCATCAATGATCAATCATGATCATCGATCATCATTATCAATCATCATCATCGACGTCATATCAATCATCACATCATCATCGTCATTGTACTGCTGCTGTATCGAGCCTCAGTATTGTGTCAAACCGGGGAGCAAGCGATGAGCTCGTTCCGCGTCAGAGGGCGGACGGAGGCGGGGCGCATAGGTCCGGGGGAGAAGGTGAGGTTGGGGTCACCGAGGTCTGTGCATCGCGCGGGGGGGTGCTCAGGACGACGGGGGGCGGGGCGGTGGAGGGGCCGTGCTCACGCGCAGGCGCCAACATCACCCGGCCCTACACGTCATCATCTTCTGACCACTACATCACGGGCCTGGTCGTAGCCGCCAGCTGACGTCCGGCTCCCAGGTACCTGGAGGCCGGTGGGCGGCTCGCGGCTGCCAGCCCACTCAATCCAGCATCTAACAGGATACCGTGCTCATCGGCGATGGCAACGCTCGGACACACTCCGGATTCAATGTAAATTATAGGGTTTTAGGATTGGTATCTAACTCCTGATTGTAGTCCATTTATCACCGCGCTTTGCTGTCACTCGTACTGCTTTATCACGCTCAGCGCTCACCCTTCGCTCCGGCCCGGTGCGTCTCTGTGGCGCCGGCTCGGCTGTCGGCCCCGGCTCACTCTCCGGCATATCAGCATGCTCTTTCTCGCTTTCCCCCTCTCGTTCACTCCTCTCGCCTCACACTGTTCGGCCCCGCCGATGCTCCTCCCTTGTGTCTGTTTGCATCCTTATCGCCCATCGCACGCCTGTCGACCTGCCCTAGTCCTCTCGGCCTTGCTGCCTCGATCTCCGCTCCCTCCGATCGCGGGCGCCGCGGGACGCGCGTGCGCGACGATTCTCTCTCCGCTCTCGTCCCCTCCCACCTCGCTTCTCGTACCCGGTCTTTCTCTCTGTGCTTCGTGCTGTGCTCTCTCTCTCCTCATCTCTCTCTCTCTCTCTTACTCTCGTTGTCTGCGTTTCGCTATATAGGACTACCATCCTGGCCTCGTCATCCTCGTGGAACGCTTCTCGTTTCTCAGGCTCGGTTACGGTAGACCTTGATGGAGTGAGTATACCGGTATTAGCATTTTCTTAACCACTATAGAAAGGTAGGTTCTTCTCTTAGCCTGTTTTCCTCCGAGCATATCCGACTCTAGATATCCACAGGTTTACACCGTCGTGCAAAAGGCGCACGAACACATTGTGCAGGTCAGGATAATGTGAACACTCACGAACACATCTATAGAACGTTCCTATTCCATATTGTAATGTTAACATTGTTAGTACGTTGAAGCATTTCTGATCAACTAGAACGAACGAAATTCTAACGGAAGCGAAAGATCGCCAAATGAATTCGAACTATTACGTTTCAAACTATTTCAGATATGACCCCGAATCGCTCGTCTTAACAAATGGCTCCATCTATAGACGACCAGGCTCAGGCGGCCATGATGGAATTTTCTCAACCGTAAGGATGGAAACAGTTTAGCAATGTGTGATGACATCTATGGCCGCCTAACGGGCGACTGCTGTGTCAGCTGTGGCGCCGACAGGTGAACCGAACACAAGCATGCCGGACGACGTAAGCACATTATCTAACAACTGTAGTAACAAACAAGAGCTAATAATCGCATTCACAAAGGTATTATTAGCTCTTCGTAATGTTCATAGGTCTATGTCCCCCAGGGTACTGCCGGAACATACCCTGGTAACTACCTGATATGGTTATGTTATGGTTAAGCGGTTTTACGGGTTCGGGTGTTTAGGTTATACGGTTAGGGTTAGGGTTAGGGCAGTGAGGCGTAGGCGACTCCATAGACCTCGTTAGTGGATGTAAGGCGAGGTTACGGTCCGAAATATTAGATAGTACCGAAAGGGTAGCGTTCCGTATACCGGACCGTACCTAGGGGTACGTTCCGCAGTACCCACTGGCAAGATATAGACCTCTCAGCCTGGTGGTAAATAGCCATACGCCAGTAAAGCCGAATAGAATGGCATGGTTCTGCTGCGTAGTCATCGCATTCTGGCCAGAAACTCACATGATCACTAACGCAGAGAACGTGCGCAATCGTTCTGACAATGACTCTTAGGGAATTATTCTAATTATGAACAACACGTCAAATAAAACGATGATGACACCCCAACAAAGACAAACAAAGCAACGAACAGCAGGCAGCAGCAACAACAACAACAACAACAAAACAACAGCATTCAGCAGCAACCCGGTCTGGCGCGCCGGCCGGCGGTTTGCTGCGCAAAAACAAACAACAATATCTACTACTGCTGCGCTTACTCGCTACTGCTGCTTTGCTCGCTGTTACCGTTGCTGGCTCTAGCTACTGACTGCTGCTACGGCTACTACTGTAACCTGCCTGAGCTCAGCACTTGTTGTTGTTTGCGCTGCTGCCTACAAAACAACAACAACAACAAATAATAATAATAATAAT